TTTTAAATCCCGTTTCTGCACAGGATTTCCCCCGTGTGATAAACTCCTCTGTTAGCAAATTGCAACAATGCATAATAGGCCACCAACAAGTGTCCATGCACATTGTGCTCTATTAATGCACATCTCACTCCCTAGCCAATATCCTGATGAACATCGGTCCCATTGTACTTTGGAACCTATGTTGCATTGGGCCTCAGTGTCCATTGGTTCCATTATGTATTGGTCCCAATATGCAATGCAGGCTCCCCTATGTAATAATGTAACAGCAGCCCCTTGTTGAATATGAATGTTTCAAAACTGCTCAATTCTATTTCCCACAGATATGTCTACTTACAAAGATGTAAGTCCCCAGGTGAATTCCAGCTGTTGTTGAAAAGGTGTGATAAAAATAAGATTGGCTGAAGCTGGGTTGTGAAATTGGGCACCACCATCCATTCCTTGCATGAATTCCTGACTTTACACACCATGCCAGTACCTTTGGAGGCATCAACCCATAGTGCAGGAATTGGTGAGGAGTGCATCATTGGGACACACATATATTAGCCTATGTATGGAGAATCCTATGAAGATTTTCTGCCTTATATCTCTGTCTCCCATCCTTTTCACTTCCTAGCCTTATTAAGGAATTTACTCAACATGTGAGCAGAAGTATGTAAATCTTCCCTCTTTGTTGTCATTCCATGCTATCTGGAGGGCAAGAAATCTGAAAACTGTGGTTCCAAATTGTGTGGACAAGTTCCAAAGAAAGCCAAGACACTTTACATTGTCCCGTTCCATGTATAGAAGGTTGGTGGAACTGGAGATCGGGGGCAGGTGCGTACATGTTCCTCCTAATGTGTCAAATAAACAGGTTTTTAAAATGTTTGAATGGGGATTATGCACCGGAAGAGGGATTATTATTTATGATAAAAATCCAGATTTGGGATGCGGCACACTGAAAGAGGTATTACCCTGTCAGCTATATTTTTTGAAAGACCTGGTTAAGATCTATCTGTTGACCCAGGAGTTTATGGACAGTTAGTAGGCACTGCAACAGAACTCTCAGTTGACTGCTTTTATTCAATGGTTTTTTATTGTATTTTTTTTAGCATTGATATTACTGGGATGTTACAAATGGCAGGATATAAATAAAACACAAATGACACAATGATACAACACAGCAAGACACATGAACCATGCAAACATTGTACATACTAAATTGCATAAGATCATTACTATTGCATTAAATAAATTGCATAAGATCATTACTATTGGATTAAATAATTGATGCTTAGTAATGTTTAGTTGGCAGCAACTTTCTTTAGGGATGTATTGTTAGTAGAAGACCTTTGAATCCACTGTTTGATGATGATACAGTTAATTCCAGAATTTGTACACAGATTCTACTTATTTACAGCTGAAGGAAGGGAAACAAATAATTTGCTGTAGGTAAAGTAAACTTTGTGTATATTCATGAGCATGCACAAAGGTGGACGAAGGATAGAGAGATTGAGAGAGAGCATGCTATAAAATTCTGCTTTTGTTGATTGTATGGCTGCTCACATGACAGAAACATTTGTTACAACTTTACCTTTAAACAATCTAGAAAATATTCTGCAATGAAACTGTTACACTTGCCATATAAAACTTGTGTTTTACATCTGCTGGCATCATGGGAGAAAGGGATAATACATGGGCTGCTAAGTCCTACATCACTAGCAAAAACATAGTTCTCTCAGAAAGACTTGCACATACTTAATCCAACAGATGAACTACTGCATCATACAAACTTACTAGAACCACAAATTTAATAAGAATGGTTTTTCATTTTGATTGGAATGCAGCTCCTTCAGTAAAATCCATTAAAATGTGCACTTTATTTTTCATAGACATGTTTTTTGTGCATAGTAATTTTTGTGTGTGTGTTCAACACATTCCTGTACTGCAGTTGCTTACCAATCATCCAGTTTCAAGAAGACATTAATGGGACAAATGCAGTGAGTTCTAAACATGTGACCTCCCCCATTCCTTTCCTAATAGTCTGTGTAAAAATTGTGCTCTACACAACAGAATAGCCTGCCAGAATAGCTAATTATGCCGTCTCTTCTGAATACCATGATAAGCCAGGAGACCTATGGACATTATCACAGTACCTGGCTGTCCTTGCCACAATTGTGCTAGTTTAAGAATGGAAGCATACTGGTTTGGCATCATTTCTTATTGCACTTTCCCCCATGAAACTTTGGTGAACCATGGCTGTGTGATGTTACTGCCTTTCCATACTGTGTTTCCATACTTATTTTCCATACTGCCAAATGCTGCCTTCTGAGTAGAAGGAAGGAATGGCCACTGAGCCAACTGCCTCCTGAAGCCAGCTGATGTGTGAATTTTGTACACAGTAGCCAGCTTTGGGAAACTGTTGACGGCTGTGATTGCTGTGAGAGGGAGGGGAGAAAGGAATAGAATCACACCCACTCAAACCATGTGACTGCCTGAGAAGTGGAACTGTACTGGAAGACAGTGGCATCACTAGGGGGTGAAGAAGGTGTGGAGAGGGGTGTCACCTGGTGGGGCAGTACACCCAGATGTACTTGCACAGCCACACTGGACCCTAAATTGTCTGCCTGGGCTGCTGTGGGTGCTGTTGAGGGGCGAAGCTTTCAGGATCCAGCATGGCTGCAACCACATTGGACCTTGAAGGTCTTTCTGGGTAGGGGGAGCCTGTCGTCAAGGTTCAATGTGGCTGGCTACAGCATGCCCTCCTTAGCAGTGGTTTGGTGGTCAGGTGGCCAAGCAGGAGGGCAAGGCAATTTGACACACACACCCCACACCAGGTGACACTAACTTCAACGACGCCACTGGTGGAAGAGATCTATCTCATGGAGGTAGTAATGGAATAGCTGCGAAATTGAGAGCCTCTTGATGGGTTTTGCCTGTCAATAAAAAGGTGCACTACAATAAAGAATGGAATGCTAGGCAGGATCAGGGCAGACAAAACATCATGTGATAAGTACCAGATAAAAATACTTTTAATCTGTTAAAATTCCACTTTTGTAGCCTTGTGTGATAAAAGTATTCTATTGTTTATAGAGGACGGTTGTAAATGGATTGTACTATTATTTGTAGCAGAAACCAGACTAAACAACCAGGTTTGATTTGAGCTACTGCTATGGAATCAGTTGACAGAATAAGTGAATTCTGACATAGGTACATGGGAGAGCTCCCAACTAGTTCTACACCGATCAGCAGATTGACTGTTGCCAGAGATAACAGGAGGCAAACTGTAAATAATCTAGG